GTAAAAAGCATCTGTAGGAAAAGAGGGAACTAAGTTTGAAGTAGCTGTGATACTTGCTCTCCGATATCTTAACTAATTCCACCGTGCAAGGGGAGTATCTACCATGAGCTATGGGCCTGGGCTGCATGAACGAGGCAGTGCTCCCTTCCTGGGGTGGGGTAGGTGTTTGTGGAGCCTGATGTGTGTTGGTGGGCATAAGATGAGAGAAGAAACATGCAAAAGTGCTGGCATAAACGGCAAAACAGGAGTTAACAGGCTGGTGTGAGCACAGCAAGTTGGGAGGCTGTGAATGGCCATGAAATCCCAGAAAGGCTATTGATAACAGCAAGGAAATGACAGGTGCTGGGTGGAGCAGTGACGGCACCAAGGCCACACTGCAGATAAGGCCACAACACTGATGTGGAGCAAGAGCAGAGTGATGCAATTCAACCTGCTCCTGTGCCTGCTGTGCGCAGAGAGCAGGAAGTCTGCAAACAGCACCACGGCCACTCACCATGCCCAAGTGTGATAAGGATGCATCACAGCACAGGTGTGGTAGCCACCAGGAAACTCTCTGTCCACCCCAAGGAAGAATTTTGGCTGGATGCTGATTTTGGGTGGATCAAGAACCGACTGGATGGCAGAGCTCAGAGGGTGGTGATAAATGGGGCCGAGTCCAGTTGGAGGCCTGTGGCCAGTGGTGTCCCCCATGGGTCAGTGCTGGGCCCAGTGCTGTTCAACCTGTTCATCAATGACCTGGACGAGGGCACAGAGGGCACCCTTAGCAAGTTTGCAGATGATCCCAAGCTGGGTGGAGTGGCCGACACTCCGGAGGGCTGTGCTGCCATCCAGAGGGACCTGGACAGGCTGGAGAGTTCTTCAGAGAGGAACCTCCTGAGGTTCAACAAGGACAAGTGCAGGGTCCTGTCCCTGGGCAGGAATAACCCCAGGCACCAGCACAGATTAGGGGCTGACCTGCTGGAGAGCAGCTCCACGGAGAGGGACCTGGGAGTCCTGGTGGACACCAAGTTGCCCATGAGGCAGCAGGGCCCTCGTGGCCAAGGAGGCCAATGGGCTCCTGGCTGCATGAGGAGGATGTTGTCAGCAGGGCAGGGAGGGGATCCTGCCCCTCTGCTCAGCTCTGGGGAGGCCAAACCTGGAGCACTGGGGGCAGCTCTGGGCTCCCCAGGACAAGAGGGACGTGGAGCTTCTAGAGAGGGGCCAGTAAAGACCAACAAAGATGATTAAGGGACTGGAACATCTCTCATATGAGGAAAGACTGAGTGAGTTGGGCCTGTTTAGCCCTGAGAAGAGAAGGCTGAGAGGGGATCTGATCGATATGTATAAATACCTGAACATAGGGAGGGTGAATGTAGGGAGGAAGGGACTAAACTCTTCTCAGTGGTGGCCACTGATGGGACACGGGACAATGGGTTCAAGTTGAAACCCAGGCAGTTCCATCTGCATGTGAGGAGGAACTTCTTCCCTGTAAGGGTGCCCGAGCTCTGGCACAGGCTGCCCAGGGAGGCTGTGGAGTCTCCTGCTCTGGAGATCTACCAAACCCACGTGGATGCCACCCTGTGCCCCGTGCTCTGGGTGTCCTTGCTGCAGCAGGGGGTTGGACTAGTTGAGGTCCCCTCCAACCCCAGCCATTCTGTGATTCCACATCTTTTATTTGGGCTTGGCAATCAGCAGGGCTTTAAATAGGGTCTCTGGACCCGTGCTTGGAAGAAGAGGTAGGAAATGAGAAAATGGGTTCACATGAGGTGATTTCCCCTTCATTATATCTTAGCGCTTCATTTTAACTTGCATTGAGAAGATAGCAACATTTGAAAACCACTGAGGAACAAGGTGGGAGAGGATCAAGCCTTAAATTGACCATTTTTTTAAATTTGCCCAGCTTCTCTGCCTACTGTTCTACACAAAAAAAAAGAGATATGGGCATTTCCTGTTGCCTTTTTTTTTTTTTTTTTTTTTTTTCAGAGAAAGAGACCCTGAGAACATAAAATGTCAAAGCTACACATACAATCATAGAATCATAGAATGCTTAAGGTTGGAAGGGACTCCTAGAGCTCATCAAGTCCAACCCCCCTGCACACGCAGGGTCACCTAGAGCACGTGGCACAGGGCTGCATCCAAGCGGGTTTTAAAGATCTCCAAAGAAGGAGACTCCACAACCTCTCTGGGCAGCCTGTTCCAGTGCTTTGTCACCCTCACAGTGAAGAAATGCTTCCTTAAGTTCCTGTGGAACTTCCGATGCTTCAGTTTGAAGCCATTTCCTCTAGTCCTATCCCTGCCCACCACTGAAAAGAGGCCGCCCCCTCCTCCTCACTGCCTCCCTTGAGGTATTTATACACGCTGATCAGGTCCCCCCTCAGCCTCCTCTTCTCCAGGCTGAACAGGCCCAGCTCCCTCAGCCTTTGCTCATAGGGCAGATGGTCCAGGCCCCTGATCATCCTGGTAGCCCTGCGCTGGACTCTCTCCAGCAGCTCCACATCCCTCTTGTACTGGGGAGCCCAGAACTGGACACAGTCTCCAGATGTGGCCTCACCAGGGCTGTGTATAGCGGAATGATCACCTCCCTCGACCTGCTGGAGACGCTCTTCTTAATGCACCCCAGGATCCCGTTGGCCTCTTGGCCACCAGGGCACACTGCTGCCTCATGGTCAACTTGTCGTCCACCATGACACCCAGGTCCCTCTCTGCGGGACTGCTCTCCAGCAGGTCCACCCCTAATCTGTACTGGTGTCCAGGGTTATTCCTCCCCAAGGGCAGGACCCTGCACTTGCCCCTGTTGAACCTCATGAGGCTTCTCACCGCCCAGTCCTCCAGTCTGTCCAGGTCCCTCTGGATGGCAGCACAGCCCTTTGGGGTATCAGCAGCTCCTCCCAGTCTGCTATCATCAGCAAACTTGCTGAGGGAGCACTGCGTCCCTTCATCCAGGTCATTGATGAATAAATTGAACGGGACTGCGACAAGGACTGATCCTCAGGGGACACCGCTAACTACAGGCCTCCAACTCAACTCAGTGCCACTGATCACTCTCTGAGCTCTGCTATGCAGTCAGTTCTCATGTCATCTCACTGTCCACTCATCTATCCCACACCTCTGGAGCTTGCCCAAGAGGCCATCCCTACCCCATAGCTCCTACCCCTTTCCTGGGATGAGATGGACAAACCAAGCCATATTCCTATGCGTGGCAGTGAAGCAGCATCTTCTAAGAGTACCTCCATGAAGCTTTTTGGAGACCTAAGACATGAAGTTCGGTTTTATTTTGGTAGTAAATACCTTGAAGGACTCTGTAAGGGCCCACAATGCTGCGTGTTCATGGGATCATCTCACGGGATGCAGTCCAGAACTGTTTCACTGCATTTGGAAACCCACCAAGGATGGAGAGCCCCTATCCTGCTTTTTGATCTGGGTTGCTCAACCTCTGGGGGGAAGGATTCCTTCCTAGCACCCATCTGAAAAGGCTGGGCAGCAATGTGTGCCCTGTTGCTTTTCATTGCATCATTTGGCACTACCAAGAAGGCTGGGTCCGTCAGCTCTGTAAATGTCCTTCCAGCAGTTGTAGGCTGCTGTCAGATCCCGCTTGGCCTCCCCTTTACTAGACTAAACAAGCCCAACCAGCCCCCATGTGCCTCAGGAAAAACTGCTAATGCAGTTAAATATTTACTTTAGTTGAGGGATTTCCAAAGTGGAATAATAATAAAAGCTAAACGTTATTGAACTCTGTAGTCTCAATGAGGAGGGAATATAAAATGTGTGCAGAGGCACCTAAACAGAGTTGGTGAACAGTCCTGCAAACACAGTTTTTAAACATTAGCACTTCAAACTCATTCAAAACAACCTTCCCCCTTGCCAAAACCCACTTCAAATCCTGCCTAGTCAGGTATCAGAGACAGTAATAAAGATTGTTGGTTAGAGCTCACTCCCTGCCCAGGCTGAGCTTGCCTGGTCGAGGGCTCTCCTTGGTCCAAATCTTCTTCCCATCACATTTGCTCTGGAGGAAGTCAAGGCAGAGCAGAGGCATTCTCTGGATGGGGAAGGACACAGTCCCATGTTCCACGTGCCTGGAATTCTTCTAGCCTGCTGGAAGTTTCTTCAGGACACCTGCCCTGCACCCGTGCACCGGGTCATAGCCCTTCACAGTGCAAGGAAGACCTCCCTTCACTTCTGCCTCAGCCTTAATCACAGCAAGTCTCTCTGCACTGAGCTATGGTCAACAGTGGTCTTCAGCTGAGACATGGACTTCCCAAACAGTGACTCACTTTTCCATGGTTGTCTGTTGCTGTTGGTTCATTAGTTAATCTTGATCCACCTGTGGAAGGCGAGGATGGATAATGAAAATGTCACTTCTCAGAAAAATGCTGTGAAGAGGCTCACATGAGAAGACCAATCTCAGACATCCATGGGTGAAGTAGTGGAGATCCTCCAGGGAGGGAACCTGTTTTGAGAAGTGCTTCCTTAAAAAGCCAGTGTTGATCACTGCTGAGGATCCCACCTCTTTGCCCTCTCCTTGCTCCACGTGCCACCATGTGTTTAAACTGCATATCCATGTATACAGTCCCTTGTAAGCAAGATTACAGATCATCCTGGATTTCATGATTTTTACACCACACCTCTCCCAGCTCACGGGGAGACATGTTCTTCACACATGAAGAATGGCAGCTGCGATGGTCCAGAGAAAATATTCCTGGAAGCAAGCTGGTGGGAGTGAGAGAAGAGGGACAACAGCATTTCCCCATGGGATCACAGAGCCCCAGGTGCAAGAGAAACTTCACCAGGAGGCTGAGCTGAGCAATCCTGCTTCCCATGCTGGCACGTCAGGCTGTGCTCTGATGGGTTATCAGCTCTGGAGCTGGCTCCAGAGGAGGTGCACAGTCCTGCTGTTCCCAGCACACATCAAGCTGCTCAAAATGCTGCTTTTCCCAGCTCCAGCAAGATAAGCTGGTGCCCTCCCCTATAAAGGGGAGAGCAGAGCAAAGTGTACGAGTGTGTGCACCTGAGTCAGCAGCACCATGGCCGTGAGGGAGCTGCTGGTGGTGCTGGTGGTGCTGGTTGCTCTCGTTGCTCCAGGAGGTAAGTCCACTCTGCTGCCAAGGGCTCTCTGCGAGGGTGCTTTAGGGGGACAGAGAAGGGACATACATGGAAACTCCAGTTTGGAGAGAAGGAGATGGTGGGGGTAAAGTCACATTGCAAAGCTGGGAGGAAGGCAAAGCTGGTGATGGCAGGGCTGGGTGCTGTTAGGCTTGAAGGACACTTGGTGCTCCCCAGCCTTCCAGGAAGAGCGGAGCCTGTCTGTGTGGGCAAACACAGGAGTGAGAAGGGCGAATGGAGCAGTGCGGAGGAGAAGGACAGAGTAAATACCCCACACTTTATTAGCAGCTTGGGGCAAGGGTTGCAAGCAGTTCATAGGCCACATTGCACTGGAGAAGGGGTGGAGGGATGAAGGAGGTGAAGCATGAAGAGGAACCAGGATCTGGGAGAGACAGCTTGTGCGGGCTGTAGCTTATATTGAGTTGGCAGCTACTGCTGTTCCTGTCTCCAGGGAGAGGAGACGTGCGTGGCTCTGCAGCAGCATCCCATGCTCAGCATGTTCAGGTAGGAGGTAGCTGTGCTGTAGGCTCTGGAAAATTGCTGCTGCCTGGTGCACATAGAAAAGGTCTGTGCACGGTCCTCTGGCTCCCGGGACATTTGTGCACCCCTTGCTCTGTACAAGGAGAGAGAGTTATTGCTACTGTCTGGCGGGGCAGAAAATGAACTCCCCAAACACAGCTCACACTAGCAATGCCAGCTGTGCAGAGCCATCCAGTCTCCACCATTGCAGAGGTCACTCATCCACATGCAGCTCTGCACCTATTTGCACCTCTGCAAGTGTGTTTGAGACTCTGTGGAGCGCAAAACAGTTCAAAAACTGGGAGGAAGGGTTGTGGGGAAAGAGGGCTTGGGGATGGAAACAGGCATTGGTACATGTGCCCACCAGCTCAGCCAAGCCAGGGAGGATGAGGCTGGCATGCAACATATGGGTTTCCCCCTCATGACATCCACAATGCTCTTCCTCAAGACAGGCCCTAAATGTGCTCTGCAAAGCTCTGCCTTTCCTCTGGTTTGGGCATAATCCCATACTAGTGCCTTATGCTCCTACCACAGTATTTCTCTGGAAATGTTGCTCACAGGGGTTGCTTTATTCCCTTGCATCCAATTGACGGGACTCTGCTCTGTTTCAGGGGCAGAGCTGAATGAAGGGAATAGCCTGAGGAGGGTAAGACATTTCTGTTCTTTCTTGTCAAGGAGCTAAGGATGAGCTTTAGCTGCCTCAGTGCCCAGCACGCCAGGGACAGGGGCTGCTCTCAGGAGCCCAAGGGAGGTGCATGGCCTGCACGGGGAAGGCGGATGCTGTTGGCACTGAGGTGGTTGCTCTGGTTTCTCCTTTCCAGCCATTCTGTGCAGAAATGGTTAACCTGGATGCATGCCCCTTGCTGTACATGCCTGTGTGCGGGAGCGACGGGAACACCTACGCCAATGAATGCCTGCTGTGTGTGCAGCAGAGGTGAGCTCCCGCGCCTGGCCAAGCGCTCCCGGGTCCAGCTGGGGCTGGCGGAGGCTCGGGTGCATCGTCCATGTCCCCTCTGCAATTCCCGCATGTGGGAAGTGGGCTTGTGCCTGCTAGCAAAGTGAAAGAGGGCACTTGTGCACCAGCCAGGCCCCACACCAGTCTGTGGAGTCGGACTTTGCCCTCACACACTGCTCAGTACCCAAGGGTAGACTTGACTGTGTGCCCACCTCTTGCCTGCTGTTTCTTGCCCCTTCCCTGGGGCCAGAGATGGAGTGGTTTAGCTCATTGCACAGGCAGAAAACCAGCCCCAAGAAGCAGCAGAATATTTATGCACTGGATAAGCCTGCTAATCAGCTCAGCCTGTGGCCACATGATCAGGATATCCAAAAGAAGGGATTAGGAGTCCCTGGTCAGGAGATCGCCAGCATGAGTGCCTGCAAACTGGCAGCAAATCAGAGGAAATAGAAGGTTCCCCCCCAACCTGTATTGTCTGGGATTAGAGAGGGAGGAGCTGCACTTAAACACCCAAAGGGGTCATCTGAGTGTCTAACACAAACACTGGACATTAAGTACAGAAGTCCTGGGTCAGATGGGAGGTCAGAGTATGAACAGTTTTAAAAAGTCTTGCTTTCTTTTTTCTTACATTTCTCTAGGAAAACAAGGCAGGACATCCGGATTTTGAGGGATGGGGACTGCCAAGGAGTCTGAGCTTTCTGGCAGCTTCCTGAGCCACGGAAACAGGTGATTAGTTGATCCTGTGTGCTCTGTGTTGATTGCACGCCTCAGTCAGCGATGGTGAAAAATAAAATAACATGCATCATACTCATAGGAACATATTTATTTCTGCAGCATTATTTTATGAAGGGCTGAGGGAAAGGAGCAAATGTCAGTTCTCACAGAGGGCTGCTGAGAATTTACAGGCAAAATATTACTTTCAGATCCATATCACATACAAGGGAACTGCATGGTATTTTCATCCACATTCCTGTGAGACATGCCATGTGGGAGCAGCAAGAAACAGGCAAAGCTTCGGGACACCGGTGAAGAAGGTGCTCAATGAATACAGTTTTTCTGTAGGAAGCAGCTGCATGAATGGGAATACAAGGTTCAGCAGCTTGGGAAAATATGACTGTCTTTTCCCTAGCTCCTTAGTAAACACCTAGTAAACACCTTTCTAGGACTGGTTTAAACTGACAGCAGGAACCTCTGCACTTATCATATTAGATGCTCCTCAGCCTTCTGACCAGAATGGATGCATAGGAGCAATCAGAAGACAAGGGGAGCCTGACAGAGAGCCCAAGAGGGCATTCTGGACGTTGGGGACCACAGATCTCCACTCCACTGCAGCTTGGGAAGGTCTTCCAAACTGAACGAAGCTGCTGACCCCCCAGAACTGCTCTCTGCCAGTTGCAGATTCCCAGGATCAACCACCAAGCTTCAAGCTTAGATTGCTCCTATATCAAGGTCTTATCTGGGATGGTGGCCAGGTGTGTGAAGAGTTCCTTTTGCTCACAGCAATGTTGATCAGAGGAAACTGGCTAAACTAGAACTCTTTTCCTGTTGTACATCTGGACAGCAACTGACTGAGATTTCTGACCTGCTTTAGCAGTGTATTGGATGGCCTTGCAGGGTCTTCACAGTGAATCGGAACACTTGAGGGACAGGCCTATGCTCACCATAAGAGATGAAGTTGCTATCACTTGCTTACTATACCCACTCAGTTCATCTATAAGCACCCGTGGGAAGGTCCTGGGTGCGCTGTATGGTCAGGTGAGCTCGCTGTAGTCAATGGCCATTCTGTGAGTCCAACATCATGGCTATCCCTCTGACCGAGCTGGTTGTGTAGTCCATCTCCACCAACCGAAAAGCACATTTTCCTGTTCAGTACCTCCCTGTAGCCACTATTGGGGATACCCCAGCTCTGCAACACAAGGCAAGGCCACTGCTGATCAGCTGAACGTTGCGGCTGAAAACAGGATTGAGGACCATAAAACTAGCTATGCTTGGTCAGGCCAGAGATCCATCCAACCTCAGGTCGGCACTGAGCAACAGCAAACTCCTGGAGAATTGGGTGATAATAGTCCAGATCTGTGGGATTCCTCAGGATGCCAGCCTTTTTCCTAGACCAAGTGTTTTCCAAATGTTTCCTTTCCAAGTCTGACTCAGATCCGCCCCTCTGGACCTCCCTCAATCAACAGGCTTTGTGTTTGCCTGTTGCTCCAGCACCCTGGTTGCAAGAGGAAGAGCAGAGAGCGGTGGGGCCCGGGCAGCCAGTCTCTTCTCCGGGCTGCTCCCCATGTAGCCACATGGAGGAAGGTCCTAGGTGCAGCTGACACCCAGGAGGCCCCATAGGGAATGCAGGTGCCGCAGGCCCGACATGAAGGGTGTGCGCTGGGACGGAGGGGCCGGCTGCCCCTGGCATGAGGCTGCGAGGCTGCCTCCATGGTTCCTCTCCATGGAGGCTCACGCCTGCCGCCCACCACAGGGCCGCCCCGCGTCCCCGCGGGACACGGCTGTTTGTTTATAGAGGCTGGGAAGCGCTTCCAAGGGGGAAGACGGCGCGCGGCCGGCGCGGCGCTGGGCGCCCGGCCGGGTCAGCCGCGCTCATCGCCTGCGTGTGGGACCGGCTGTGGGGGTGTCCCTGGGCAAGAGCTTCCCGGAATTCGGGCCACGGAAGCCGTGGAGGAGCTGCCATGGAAGGGAGGCACGTGCGAGGTGGCTCTGAGGAGCTGCTGGTACTCCCGGCTGGTGTCACGGCCGCACGCTTGGCTGAGCTGCCGCCCTTCCCCAACGACTGCCCTTCCTTTCAGAGGCGACATTTGCAGTTTTACCGTTTTCTCCCCAGCTAGGCTTTGCCGTGTGGACAAACACGAGTAAACACACCCGCGGCGGCAGCCCCGCGGCGTCGTACGACAATATTCTGCTGAGTCAGGGGTGATTTATCAGTGCTCAGCAGGCTCCGGAGCAACACGGCCCCGCTGCCTCCGGCGGCGCGCGGCACGGGGGGGCTGGCGGCCGCGCGGAGCCCCAGCCGGAGCCGCCGGAGCCGCCGGGGCCGCCCTGGCGAGCGCCGCTGTCCCCTGGCAGCTGCACATCTCCACGTGCCACGCGAGCGCCCGGCCCGTATCGCAGCCCGGCCAGGGTGGCCGCTCTGCCGGCACCACCCTGCTGCTCCCACAGGACTGGGAGGGCTGCCCCACTGCCATGGGGACGGCGTGTAATCTGCGCCAGACACAGGCGAGGAGGAGCCCCCGGGGCAGCGGGGAGGATAAGCAGAAAGGCAGTGGTGACCACAGTCCCCCCCACCAGGGCCCGGCGATGTAAGTGCCTTTGTCTTGGGAAAACCTGCATCACTGCTGTTTGGAAATGGTGCTGGAGGTTTCAGTGTCCTAGAGGGGGAAATTGAACCAAAAGAAAGCCTGGCAAGGACACAAGGCAGGCCTGGTCTGCTTGGACCCTGAATGCTCCTCTGGGGCTCCCTGGAGAAGGATCTCTGTGATATTGCCGGAAAAGACACCACCTTTGCCAAGAGCAGCGGGCTGATGCCATGAGGATCTGAGTGGTAGCTGCATTTTAGGGATTTCTTACCTACCTGCAGCAACCTGAGCGTGATGGAGTGAGCTTATGGGCTTCAGAGCCAGCCTTAAGCTTGAGCAGTTGGGAATCACATGGAGAGGAGTGCTGGTAAAAACTGTATCTCAAATACTTAGTGTTGAAAGTGTCAGAAACTGCTTCCAAAGCAGTGATGTGCCCTGTTCCAACAGAGCAGCTTTACTTGTGTGTAGTTTTAAACAGTCCTGCTGCATCCTTGCATGAGAAATTCTCAATGCCATTTGCAGCAGAGGGCTGAATTTCTGCCTTGCCTTACACATAGGAATCGGGGGCAGGATGACCCAGGTGACCCAGCCCTCAGATCACACCGACCCTGGGGTGTGCCAGGAATAACCAATAAATTATATGCTCCTGTGAGAGCACAGGTCCAGCTTCATTCCTCCCACTGGATCTAGTGGTGCTGCTGGCCTGCTCCATGAGGGATGATTTGCTCCCAAGCTGCGTAGAGTCCCCATGAGTCATTTGGAAATCCTCAACCTCAGCAATCCCTTGGTGGGAGTCTCTCCAGATTCGTTGATTTGCCAGGATTTCCCAGCAAAGTGGTGCAGCTCTTGGACAAGTCACCGGGAAGCTTGAGTGATCCAGTCATTGGGGATTTCCACAATTTGGTTGCACAAAGTTGTGGTCATCTGGACGTAGTGTTGGAGACAGTCCTGCTGTGGATGAAGGGGCAGGACTGGAGATGCAGGTCCCTTCCCACCAGCCCCTATGGGCCCTACGATCTGGTGAGGGCCTCAGACAAATATTTTGAGCAGCTTATGTCCCATTTCACACCTCTTGCAAGAGGTCCTTGTGGTTGGATAACACCTCTCTGCATCTCTGGGAATCAACCAAGAAACAGGGCTGCATCCTGCCCTGCCATCTATCCAACTGTCAGTCCCCTTCGGACAGCATCTGAGCCACGGTTTAGCAGCAATGAATATTAACTCCCTATGCAAAATGCCGCATAGAAGCACTAACATGTTTTGCAATCAATACAGTAGGACCTGGACAGACACTCACACACCTTTGCACCATGATAAGGAGAATATTATTACCCTGCTAGTGGCCTGGCCAGATAAGCTGTTTTGGGCGGGCAGTCTGCATTTTTTCTTCAAGCTCTTCTTTGGTTACACCACTAACTCCAGATGACCCAAGGAACTAAGCTTCTTTTTATTTAAAACCGCAAGGAGCAATGGAGAGTTTAGGTAAAGACCATGCATACTCGGACCCTTCCCTGCCACCGTCTGCATCCTCTGAGGAATACACTGTGCCAGGTAATGCTGAGACCACCCCTAACTTTGACTTTTGAAGAGATGAGTTAATATTCCTTACCATTAGTGGCTCGTAAAGAAAGAGTTATTAATTTCAGGTTGATGGATGGGGAGCGGAGGAGACATATTCAACTGCAAAAATCTCTGGGTTTTGCTCCTTTTTTTTTTCTTTCTTTCCTTTTTTTTCCCATGTTGTATTCCAGCACCTTTAGATGTTTTAGGTTTTTCCTGCCTAGTGCTGGGAGGTGACAGGAAGCTTTGGGACAGCTGCTGGAGTGCACTCCTGGACAAGTTAAAATGAATGAGGAACGTTTTCCATCTGTGCAAAACCAATTTGCTCAGGATGGGTTGGGAAGCAGCCTTACTGCAAGCATCTAAAAATGCTTTTTGGTGTTGTTTTTATCTTTTTTTTTTCTGCTCCCCAGTTGACTAGCTTTGAAAGAGAAAGGAGGAAACTTTTGCCTGCGCAGGGATGCGCAAGGGATTAAGTGGTTAAACTGGAATCCTGTGCAAATCCTGCTGCCGTGACTGACTCGCAGCCACCTCTTCCCAGGCAGCTTCCTGCCTTTTGCTGCGTTCCTGGCGGAGCTATTTCCTGCTGGCTGTGCCCTGGATGTCTCTGACACCACTTTGCGCTGGGGAGCAGCTTCCACTGGGGGAATATTCACCCGGCTGCGTGTGGTGCAGCTCGAGGGCAGTGGTTTTTGCTTGCAAAGCTGACACCTTCTCCGGTCATACTGAGGCACCTCTGCCAGGACCGGGGAGCTCTGTGCCTGTTGTGGCCTGCACAGCTGCATTGTGTCCCGTTGTGTCCCTTCTCTTTGGACCAGTGAGACTGGATTTATATTGCTATTCATTCATTCATTTATTTATTCTGTGAGAGGAGCTGTTTTCTCTTTGCTGTGCTCAGAGCAAAGGGGGGCTCCTGTAACAGAGAGCTGTACGGATGCCAACAATAAAACAACAGAACAAAGAAACAAGAGCACAATGGAGGATTGCTTTTGTTGTGGTGATGGTTGTAGTTATTATTAGACGGCATCCGGAGCGCTGTGAACAGATTTTGGCAACTCAGGACAAGGACAAAAGCAAACTGAGATGGTCCACAGCAGACCCACCAAGGCTGTAGAAGGGTGAAGAACATAATGTACAAGGAGAGGCCTTTAAATATAAAGTAATTTTTTCATTGTGGGAACAGTGCAGGACCAGAGGTGTTGTCTTCCAGATCTTTGTTGGGCTCCTATTCTTAGCTTTCCTCTTTCCTATCTTGGACTATAAAAACAGGCTCTTATCAAAGCTTACACAGGCATCTGGGACACAAGAGCTCCAGTCCCAGCTCAGCCTTGGGAAACTGTGTGAGCTTGCCAGCTATCCCAGCTGGACAAGGGCAGGGCAAAATGACAATCCTGTGCGGACAGGACCTCATGTTTTAGTGTGAGCTGAGGCTCTCCATGGAAAGAGCTGAACAGGATTACATCTGTAAGCAGCAGGTAGTTTTGTTGCTTGTTTGTTGTGTGTGTTTTGCTGAAACTCTGAAAACTGGTGCTGTCATGATTTCTTCAGTGGGAGTACATGTATGGGAAGATTCCCCTCTCCCTCCAGGCTCCAGGGGAGTGTTATTCCTACTGAACAATGCACTTTGTCTAAAGAGAATGACCTCATTGAAGCCAGGTCTTTATTATCACAAGCTGGAGTCCAAACTAGAAAATTCAGGGCTGTATAGATTAGAAACCACGAGGCCTATTACCACATGCTCAGGGATCACAGAATCACAGGTTGAGCTTGGAAGGGACCTCTGGAGCTCATCCAGTCCAGCCCCCTGCTCCAGCAGGGACACCCAGAGCACGGGGCACAGGGCGGCATCCAGGCGGGTTGGGAAGATCTCCAGAGAAGGAGACTCCACAGCCTCCCTGGGCAGCCTGTGCCAGGGCTCGGGCACCCTCACAGGGAAGAAGTTCCTCCATGGAGATGGAACTTCCCGTGTTTCAACGGATGTTGACTGCTAGTTCCAGGACATGCAGAGAAGTTTGGCATAGGCCTCAGTGAAGCTCAGATATTTGTCCAGCTGAAGGTGGCTGAGATGTCTCTTGCCTCAAGAAACCACTTATTAGGCAAGTGGCCTAATTAGCCCTTATTAGGTAGTGGATGGACAGACCTCACCTAGGCCTGTGAAGGCATCTCACAGAACTTGGGTACCTGGGGCTCTAGAGATGAATTATCTTGCACTCTGTGCTCATTTGTGGCTGAGGGATTTCATGGTGCCTTCGTGCCTCCCCTTCACCCAGACCTGTGATCCACAGTGATCCATCATCCACAGTGATGTGCTCCCAAGGGAGCAGCAGCAGGAGGAAAACAACCACAATAATCTGGAATATGTTACAGCACAAGTGTCTGGGAGCTTCGCATGGAGTGTCATTTGCTCCTACTTGCTGGTGCTGCTTCGGCAGTGCAGTTCCCCAAACAGCATTTTACCAAAACCTGCTTCATGACAAAAAGATCCCAGAGCCTGGTCACCTGTGTCAGCAGGGAGGGAGGGATTGTTTTGTTCTTTGGCCAGGATGTCATATTAGCACACATTTTGTTCTTGCAGATGTCATCATCACACGCCGCTTGAGAGACAGGGAGTTGCTCCGGAAGAGAAAAGCAGAAGCCCAGGAGAAAGACTCAATTCAGTGGGTTCTGGGGTAAATTTTACTGACACCATGGAGTCATTTTATTCTACACCTAAGCTATGCCCAGACACAGAAGCCCAGTAACTCTGTGCTGAGAGATGGAGATCTGGAAGTATCTCCCTTGCCATGGCCCTGCCTCTTGTTCCCTGGGATCCAGGTGGGTGCTGGAAAGTGTCTCCTGCCCACCCAAGCCAAGCTTGCTCCTGCTCCCACCCTGCATCGCTGGTGCCCGTGTCTAGAACATGCCCATGTCTAGAACAGACCATGGACACCAGGGCTTTTGGCTAAGGGGTGACAGGGCTGAGCAGTGCCTTGTACATCTCCTGAAGGGAGAGGTCCCTGCTCCAGCAGATAGTCTGAAGCCTGAAAGCCTCTGCACTGAGGTCAAGGAATTTAGGTAGGTTAAAAAACCTACCTTAGGTAGTTTAAAACAAAAAAAAAAAACTACATAAGATTACAAAGATTTTAAATACAAAAGAATGGTTTCTCTGTGGGAATGAATGAATAAATAAATAAATAAATAAATAAATAAATAAATAAATAAATAAATAACTGACTGGTGGGACTCACCTATTGGGGCCTGACAAGGGCAGGAGTGTCTGGGACCCTGAGCAAGAACCAAACCCCAGATGAGCACAACTCTGCTCCGTGTCCAACTCCTTGCCTATGTGCATGTCCCAGCAGGGAGCAGGAGAGGAGCAAACGGCAAAAGAGGGGCAGAGGAGCAGGGAGAGGACGCGGCCGCCAGCCCGTTGCGGAGCCCCACGTGGAGCCCAGCCCGGAGCCAGCCCCTCGTGCTGAGGTGCTGGAGGGAGCGGAGCAGGCTGCGTCTGAGCCAGCAGTGCCCATGCCGGCGTATCCAGACGTGCTGCCCACTCAGGAGCTCTTCAGCGGGAGCGCTCCTGGTGCTGTGGAAGAGGAGCTGGCGGGCGGGAGCCAGCATCCACAGGGTGAGCTACCGGAGGGACTGTTGTCACGGGGATGGAGCACGTGCAGTTATAGAGAGCCATCCAAGCTCTCTGTGCTCAGCAGGTCACTCACATGGAGCCTGTGGTCTCCGAACAGCTCCCTGTCCCAGGGGCCTCTCTGTGGGCCTTCACACAATGGGAATGAGTGGCTATGTCCTAACATTCATGAGAGAAAAGTTCCAATGTTCTTTGCCTCCAGCAGCAGCTGGATCACTGATAAGTTTCTGCCCCAGGTCCTCTGCTGCCTGGAGCAGTAACAATTAGAAAGTGGGGATCAGATTTAGCCAGGTGGGACCGTGGGTCCCCATGCTCCTCACTTCCCTGTGGAGACTCAGGTCAGGGTGATGATGCTGTGGAAAGTGGATGCAGTCCCTGGAGAGTGCCAAGGGTCAAATGTGCTCCAGCCACAACCTGTCTGATCCCAGGGTGGTGGGAAGGGGGAGGTGGAAGCTTGAGCCTATTTGTTGGGAGCTCGTGTCTTTGGGACCTGCCTGAGCAAGGGCTCCATGGGCTGAGCCTGGACAGGACCTAAACTCATCTGAGCATCAAATGGCCACCTGGTCTCAGGAAATCTGGCCATCATGAATGCTGCCCAGGACAGCAAGACTTCTTCTCAGATCTGGCTTGAGAAGGAGAAAGACGATTTGTTTGAATAAACAGTGCAAACAAGGCATACTGATGTCTTCAAAACGAGGAGAACTTGGGATCTGTATTGCAGAAGAAGTTGCCATCCTTCCAGCCCAGAGCTTTAACGAGCAATGAACCAGGGAGCATTCCCTCATACTTCCATGGAGCATTGGGAGCACTCTGCATGTCCAGCACGTGCAGGTGTGCTGGGGAGGGAAAGAGAGGCCTCTTGCTACATGTGGAAAACAACCATTCTGCTGTTTGGGGCCAGGTGCTAACTGGGACATGTCACATGTATCCAGCTCCCAAGCCCTGGGATCTTGAAAACTATAAACATCAGGATGCATTTAATTGTCCTCTGCCACTGAACCCATTGGGGTTTACTCCCTACAACTCTCCTCTGCAACCTGGGGGACTGCCATGTCATTTAAAAAGCAGAAGAGCTACCAGAAACCATTTCACACCTCATCCAGGCACAAAAGCCTTAGTTCAGCATAGCACTGAAGAGCAAAGCACAAGAGCTGCTGTGACATGATCTCTCTCTCTTAAATGCTTTACAGGTGAAGAGGCAGTCCTGAAACCAGCTGAAGGGGAAATACCGGAGGCTTTGAATATTCCTCTGGAAAATGACCACCAGGATAATGAATACTACACACCTGTTCTATTTTAATTTTTTTTTTGTTTTGTCTTCTGTCTGATAAACTCATGCATTGTGGAGTGATATATCAGATACCTTAATATGAGTAATAAAATCCAGCTGTCCTGGCAAGTCCCCTTCCTATGCCTTTAGCTTATGATAAAGGAAAACGCAGTTGCTTCTGCAAAGGCAGTCCTTGTGGAATTGCATGCAGAGAATGACTCATGCATCCCCTGCCTTCTCTGCCAGAATTTGACTTACCCAACAGAAATGCAAGGCACATCATGAACCTAAACCTCACTGTGACTTGTAGTAGGCTGGAGACTTTTTGTGGCTTGGGCATTTTTTTCTTTGTGCTGAGCCCTACAGCTCCTTACGTAGTTATTTTCAGTCTGAAGGTCTTTCTCACAGTCACTTTTCCACTCTGGTACCCTGTTCACTTTCCTAAAGCCAGGAAAATGTTTCATTTTCATTCTCTAAATGAAGTCACTCCAACTCTGCTGAGTTGCATTAGTCATTATCAAAGAAGGTTGAAAAGAGCTGCATGCTACAGACTAAAAAAAAAAAAGAAAAAGAAAACCTATAGGCTGAAGTATACACTTTGGTTAAGAAATTGCCCTTTCAGACAAGGACAGGAGGTGCCTCTGCATAACTATTGTGTCCTAGCCTTCACAATGAGATTTCAAGCATATGGATGCCTTATGAAGAGAGCCTACGTCATTTACCCAGACTTTTTCATGAGGTTATGAGAGAATATGGCTTCCTTTCTCTCTTCACACATTTTAGGTCTTGAGGTCTTCTCCTGTGGACATGTGTGGGTGGCTTTTCTAGGGTCTTGTAATATCCTGACACAGATGGTCTTCTTCATTCTGGGATGAGATGGGGCCTTTTGTTGCCATTATCTGACTTAGTGAATGCTTTGACTGGTCTCCCAGAGCACATGGCTGGACAGTTCTGAGGTCACTCTTGATTTTAGAGATTTATGGGGTTTTTTGAGCTGAATAACCAGTACGATACACTGAGATGTCCCTGCCACTGTCCCAGTGCAATGAAAGCCCATTAGATACCTGCATGTTGCACCTTTACTTGCTTCGGCCTCAAGGATTCAGCATGAGGGACTATTGCATGCTTGTATTTAGCACAGCATCCTCTCCTTCTGATATCCAGGCTGCCTTCTGCACCTATAGTGTCAGAAGTGCTAAATCACCTTGCAGCTCTCAAAGCAGAAAGCTTACGCTAGCCCTGTAAGTAAACAAGAGCAGCACATTGCCACTGGGCAAGTACTGGAGGGTTGGGTTCCCCATTCAGGTATTTTGTCATCACTTTTATCTCTGATGACCTTAGACTTCCCAGATGATGCTAAATTGTGTTATCTCCTCAAGGGCCTGACATGAATGGGAGCAATAGAAGACCTCTTGGTTTCTTCCACAAACTACCCAAACCTGTTCTTGTAGTTAACTCCAGATACTTAGGACACAACTGAAGGGATTTGCGGAAGCTCTGTAGCATGGAGAGAAGCCAGGAAACTGACATTTCTACCTCATTTAGACATGGATGCAGGAGAGGAGGTCGAAAGGAACTAGAAGGGCAGGACTTAGAGCATTAAGGGGTGCATCTGGAGCCTTCACCAGCCCACAGACAAGCGAAGCAGCTGCAGAGCAGTGGATGCTGCCTGGCCACATCCAATGAAGCTTCTCCAGCAGTGAGGTGGAGAAGAAGAGAACTGAAGTACAGTTTACCCATGTGCTGATCTGGACTTGCTAGGCCTGAGGAGCTATCTGTGGGAGCAGGCTCAAGAGAAACAGAACAGCCCATAAAAAGCACCTTTTCCTGCTGGGGAGATGCCTTCAGTGGGCAAGGGGTCCCGGAGCCAGCTAGGCCACAGCATTCATCTTGTTAAAGCTGCTCCCACTCCAACTGTTTTTTTTTTTTTTTTCAGCAGCCCATAAAAAAGGTGTGCCTTCGGGTAATAAATCTTATCGCAGAATAACCAAAAGAAAGATAACAGGTCCCTTATCAGCACTTTTACTCACAACTATTGTTTCTATCTCTGACAGGCAGACTGATGCCAGAGCTCTTTGTTTGCAGGGAATATATTGGGGTTCGGGTGAAAGGCAGGGCACATAAGAGCCTATGTGCATTTCTGAGAGGGTCCTGCTGTCTGAAGGAAGCCGAGGATCAGCTGGAAAGAGCAGCTGCGTCTTGGGGAGAGAGGCTACCATTTTGCTCACACTGGGCCCAAGCCTGTCCCTTACTCCCATTATCCCTCACCCTGCTATGAGGCAGGATTTGTGGCTCCCCTTCACCTGGAGCTGTTAACAAAGCAGGTGGTGGGTGCAACCAGGTGGCTTTTGAGCTATTGGACCAACGTAGCATGGTGGGTCAGTGCCTGACATGCTTTCCTCTCTGCTGTATCGTGATGCTTAGGGAAGCTGTTCCTGGAAGCCCTGTGCTGCTGTGCAGGCCCAGAGCCATGCAAACTAAAAGACATGTAGACTCTTAGTGCACTTTGATAGGCAGGGCAAATGGGCCAAGCAGGTATGACCACTATGATGGTTATCTTGTTTTGTGGCTAAAGCCAACAAGACTATGCAGAACACATTGCTATGAAGTCCTCTCTTGGCCACGTGTCCTACAAAGCTTGGAAAGACTTTCCAGGCATCTGAGGGATGGAGGGCACATCAAGACACGCAAGAAGAGGGAAGCTGATTTCATATTCAGGAGAAGCAGATTGTTATCTGCCCGTTATCACTCAGCTTTCAAGAGCCTTCTAGGAAACATATGGGAGACAGAAAAATCTGTTTAATGGGGCCATTTCTTAGCAAGATCTTAGCAAGAGACTGAAAAGGCAAAGGAAGTCCTGTGCCAGACCTTCTTCCTGATGCAGGGAGACTTGTTCCAGCTGAGGAGCTGCTCAACCATCAGACACTTGGTGAGATGAGCAAATCTCCTGGGGAAAAGGCCGGAGATAAAGTTGCTAAAACATCTTTTGACATCCTTCAAACCCACCTCACACCATTTTCCCCACTTAAAGCCAGGCCTCCACTAATCTAGAAAACCTACATTCTCAGTAAAATAAATCTACACATCAGAATAACTTCTGTAGGTCACTTCTAAAGTCCATGATGGTGATTCCCAAGTATCAGGTACAAAGGGGCTTGAAACCCTTCTGGTTAGTATACTGTTTCATGTTCTCTGGAAGGAGTTGTTGAAGAGACCTCCTCTGGAAAGAACAGCCCCAGGAGGAGGTGAAGTATAACCACTCAAGAGAGGCAAAAGCTGCTGAAGGAGAGAGAAAAATAAGAAAAACACTATAAAATGTTCTGCAGGTGTAGATCTTGAGGGGAAAACAAGCAGCTCTTAGGGAAGTTCTGAAGAGCAGATATTACTTGTGGCTCCCAACTCACAGTCCTCAGGCAAGTCGGGGCTGAGCAAGCTAGGACGAAGAGGACACGGGACTCATGGGGCTCAAGAAGCAGGGTGCAGGTTAGTCTACATTTCACATCCCATTTGGGGCTCAAGGGCACAGCATCTTTCAGAGATCTATGATGTGAAGTGTCTCCTTAGGTCCACTTGAATTCAGGCTCCTGAAATTAAAATAATTGCCAGATAGATAGCAGATGGAATTAAACATAGGAATGTAAAAAACTTGGATTAGCTGTCAGCCTCTGTTCTTTGTTATCATAGTGATTTATGGCCTGGCTCTTTAACAGATTCCTGCTTATATAGATAAGCACGATTGTCACCTTCACGCTTCACCATATGAGTCACTTGATGATGCTTATTTATAAAGATAACTGCAAAGCGTATCCTTCCATCCATTTTGAAGGAGGATCAGCTTAGCAATGAGACACCAGGGGAGGAAGAAATGATGGGAGCAAAAGAAAGAATTTTGGAATTTCCTCTTTTTTAAGTCAAACAGCTAAGTGTCTGTGTGTAAATAAGGACTTACTTAATTTAGTCATCACAAGGCTACAGAGTATTTAGCAAGTGCCATGAATCCCTGCAAAAGGAAAAAAGGGCCTGAGCTCTGCACTGAACAGTGAGATTTTTATTTCACTGTTTCAATTTTAAAACCTGTTCTTCAACATGCTTTTCCATGGGAGATGGAGTGATGTAAACTTCATCACTCATCACTGGCCTGAGAATCTGTAGCTTCTCAAGGTATTCTTTCTTATACACATGAGACCAATAGAGCGTACCAGTGAAGAAGCTACTGCATTTTGCCAGGGAACTTCCTAGCTAGTACTGGGCTACACCAATGAATACGATATGGAAGAGGTGATGAAAGCTTCCTGCCTGGTAGAGGTGTCTCTTCTGGCAGTTTCTCCTCCCTTGCCCTGGTGGTGCAAGCTTTGGTAAGATGGAGCTCAGTGCTCCCTGTGGTCTGACTGCAAATTACTTGTGAAGGGGGAGTTTTGCATCATGTTGGTGGGCAGTAAAGATTTTCTACAGAATTTGTTCATAAACCACAAGGCTGGTGGTTGGTAAAGGCCATATCAAGTCCTGCAGGGATCGTGCCAATTCTAGGTCAGGCACCCTTGCAGCCACCTAATGTCTTCTGATGAGTTTCTGCACAAGGATGCCTTTCTGATACTGGGTTGCTCAAATGATCCAGGAATCCAGATGTGGATTCATCAACAGCAAGCAGTGGGAAGAGCCACATCCTTCAACCCAATGGATCTTCATCCCAATGGACATCCCAAGTACATCCCAATGGATCTTCAACTTTGATATGGGTCATGCCGACATCATCTGGGATCACTTGCGGCTTTCACCAAAGAGATACAGGAATTGCAGAACAAAGAAAGTATGTCACTACTGGTGTGGTAAAGAGTGAGGTCTGGGCTTCCTCGCCTTAGTAATGAGCTCGTGCTCACATCCTCTTCATCACTCACCACCTCCCAAGTAAATTTCCAAAGTGGTTCAAAAGTGCAGAATTATGTGCCCCTGGGTTTGTATGTACCACTCGTTTTTTTAAAACCTATTTCCCTAGCGAAGATGTAATTCTAGTGATGTGTTTCTATAGCTATGCTTCATTTTTTATGCAAGGATTCAGGTGCTCAGAGCAGTAATTTAACATTTCTCCCGGGAACGGGCTGGAGCAATGACCTGGAGCCCGACGGGGCGATCCCACTGAATTTCCTTTCATGTGCAGTCCCAGGGGATCAGCGTATAGGCATTGGTATGCAAGCCCCAGGATAAGACCAACACATGAACAAAAACACCAGCTTGTGTCAAGTGAGCGCTTACAACCAGGCAAAGCACTGGAAACTGTTTTAACTGGACTGTCGTATGCAGTCAGCTAACAAGGCTAGAAGAAAACCCACACTATAACGAAGCCCATCCCCTTCCCATAAAGCCTGAAAAAGTTAAATTTGGTTTTGCTGACGTCATTGTCGTGCCTGACACGAACCAGCAGTGCTCCCTGGTGGTAATCCAGCCCATACACACGCTGAGCGTGCAGAAACGGGCCCAGGGAAATGATCGCTTCTCCAATCCGGAGCACAGGGCTCAGCGCCGCGAGAGGGCCCCGAGCAAGGCCACAGCCAGCAGCGGCCACCGGATTTCTGAAGAGGGTCATGGAGAAGGCAAGGATAGATGTCTGAGACAGGGACATGGAGGTGGTGTTTCTCCATCCTCATCCTTGGCTTGGACAAAGTCACAACCACCCTCGCCTGCTGTTGGGGCACTGAGTGCCAGAAACCTCTGTGTGTCCCTCCAGAGGGTTTTGGGCCTCCTGTCACCCCACAGTGGATGTAGTTTTTCCTCGACATGTTCCAGAACGCAAACTTTGGGGCTGTTAAGACTCCAGAAGTCAGAGCTGAGTATGAGATAGCTTGGGGCCCCTTGGTCAATTTATCAACAGCTAGGGTAGGGTTGCTGCTAAGGAGAGAAGACTTCTCATTTTTATGAATGTTTTGGTCTAGTGGAACTTCAAAGGTGACGATTTTGTTAATAACAGCATTAATTTTCACTTGTGACAGTTTCACTGCTGACAGTGACAATGAATGGTGGTCTAGGTCCCGTTGTGGCGGAGACGGGGTTTATCTCATACCTGCTTGAGTGAGTAAGCTTGAAACCATTTGTCTGCTTCAAATGGGATTTTTTTATGGTCTGTTCTCTAAAAAAGAAGAGGAGAAAACCTCCACAGAGACACAGGCAAAAGTGCAACTTGTATCTGATCAACTCGAAGAAGGCACATTGTTCTGCAAAATGTGACTTTTTGTGATCTTTCTTTTCTTTCTTTTCTTTCTTTTCTTTCTTTTTTTTTTTAATGGATGTTCCTCACAGAAAGCTCCAAAGCCGGCGTTGTGCTCTGCTGCCCGCATGGAAAGAGCCACTGACCCCCACGGCAAGGCTCCAGCTCTGGCCTTTCACGCCGCGACAGGGAGGGGGACAGGGGGACCCCTCGCGAGGCCGCTGTGGCTGGGCAGGTTCTTTGGGCTCTTGCCTAGAGGAAAGAGTCCCGGGTGAGGTCAGGGTTCAGCCAAAGTGGGGTGAGGACCTCTGCGAGGAGCGGGGTGGACCACCCGGTTGGCTTTTCCATCACCCAGCCGGGCTGCATCCACCTGGGCTCATCCGTGGGCAAAGCCCGGGCCTCCCTGAGCTGCTGCCTGCATGGCAAAGGACCAGCGCTTGGAGACTTTTCAGTCAATTTTTATTTTATTTTATTTTATTTTATTTTATTTTATTTTATTTTATTTTATTTTATTTTATTTTATTTTATTTTATTTTATTTTATTTTATTTT